GCGAATCTTGCCATCTAAGAGTCTAGCTCGATGCAGTGCCGCTACTAATTTCAGACACCCTCCGTATATCTGCATGTAGACTTGTCGCATGCCGGCAATTGCAATGGAGCCATCAGCTCTGGTCATTTGATTCCAAGTCAAGTCGCAGCCGAAGACAACATCCTGCGTTAGCCTGTACAGTTTTCTCTTGAGATCCGATACTAATTTGTGGCTATGTGTTGAGTGAACGCAAAGCAGCAGGACACCGGAGGGACAGTTGAAACGTGATAGTAAAAAGTCAGGTCCATCGGAGAGAGGTCCCAGAAAGGAGCAAGAGCAGGAAAATATGAAGGGGCCACCCCATAAGTGATATTTTAGCAGTTTCTTATTGACGTTCACTAAAAACAGCGTGCTCTGGAAGACATCTAGAAGTGTTCGATCCTCTCAAAACGCTTTAGGTGTAATCACTCTGTCGAGACGCTGTTTGTTCGATTTGTAGGTCTTACCTTATCAGAAGTGGATGCTTCGACATCTTTTTCCATCTTTATTTGCTGTTTCTTGTCAGCGGTGGTGGATTCCTCCTTTTTCGATGATTCTTTCGACGTATCATCATCATCATCATCATCATCGTCATCTTAATATTATCCAAAGTAAAATTCGAAAAAGTACCAAAGAAGCTTTCCCAGACTAATTAAAATGCTTTAGCAATAAGGAAAAATTCGAAGAAAACAACGATTCTAAGAAGCGAGAAAACCTTTTTCCTCCTCTTTCTTCACCATCTTACTTCGCTCGCCTTCGTCGCATTCCTCGTCAACTTCATCTCCCTCGGATTTCGAGTCCTTGTCAGTTCCTTCTTCATCACCTCCTCCTGTTTCATCATCAACATCTTCGTCTTCTTCCTCATCTTCCGGCTCGAATTCGTCAGAACTACAAGAAAACTAGCAGTTTTTCATAAATAAAACATTTTCACACTTGTAACTCACTTATTTTTTCGACTTATTTTTCCTCTATTAACAATTTATTACCCCAAAACCAAGTATCACGATTAAATACTGCAACTTTTTTTCTGATGAAAGCGAATCAACGACATTTTCTGCCTTGGCTGCCACAATTATTTCAACTTATGATGTCTGAACTTCACCGCCCAATGTTCTGCGCAAAACGCTGGCAGCCTTTATATATTTAAATCAACGTAAATTTGCTACTGTTACATAAGTGGGCTTCTTCAGATGTGTTAATTTCCACAGCCTTTCTACTTCACTCAATATTTTCATCTTTCCTTCCGTACTGTAGTTATCGTTTTATCTAAGCCCTAAAATTTACCAAGCACACGGGGTGAATCACACAATCTATAAATGAGCAAAACGTACACCAACGCTACAAGCCTCCAACGAAAATATTTCCCTAACTTTAACTCTCAATGTTCCTGCTTTTCTAAATTTACATACCTTTCAATATTGCGTCCGGTGCCCACGGGGCGAACAGCCCTCTTTCCCTTCGTCTTTTCTTCCTCATCACTCTCATCCTCGTCATCATCGTTTATCGTCAGACTGGGCCTCTTTGCTACTGCCTTCCTCAGAGGCCTGGAAAGTAAAATGCCGATGAGTCGGCCGACCAGGCCACAACCTAAAGTATTCAGTCTTGGTTCCGTAAGTGCAGGTGGAACTTACAGTGCAGGTGTAATTTAGAACTTACAAAAATAAATCAGGTCAAAACCAGTCATTTTTTCGCGACCCCTAAAGCAGGATCTAGAAAGAGTAAGCAACAACTTTCAACTCACATTTAAAAATGCTACCGGCCGTTGAAAACACATGCATTTTTTCTACTAAACTGAAACAAATTTTCTGTAAATGGGACAAAAGAATGAATATAATCGGCACGAAATCTGAAGGTTTCAGTGAAAAAAAAAAAAAAA